AACAATCCATTCAAAACATAGCCCTGTTTAAAAATTTAAAGTTGATGTAGGTATATCTCGCAACGTGCTATGTTGCTCCAAATCATACCAAATCCTAGTTTTTTCAGGTTTGAACTTGTATTTTATCTACAAACAGCTTGCTTAGCTAGCCATAAGTTATAAAAAAAATCACTGACATTCATTAAAAAATTCACAAACGGCGAAAAAAATAATGGTTTTAGTATTTTTACTTTTCCAAACCTCTCGCTTGTGAACAAAAACCATCTCAAACTAATAGCGCTAAAGATAAACCGGTCATGTTTAAAAGAAGCGTGCCAGTCAAACACAACAAGGAGAAAGTATTTAAATTTGGGGTGATGTCAAAGATTTGCATCTAACAAGCTGCATTATTCGTTGACAAGGGTGGTAGAGGAATCAAAATTGTAAAACCACTACCCTTGTTGGTGTGCTGTACGCAAAGCTCGTTGCCTAAAAAATTCAAAACGCAAAATAGCAGTCTTTGACATTTACGATCACTATTTTTTAGTTATAATAAAATGGTTAACTTCAAATGTTTATGTTTATACAGAATATCATGTCAGGGTTGGACAAAAATCGGATTTAAAAAAAAATCAAAAATCAATAATTTTTTTCTAAATCACTTTTAAATCAGGACGTAGAAATCTATTTTATTTGAATGAGTTTGTCTCCTCAAAACAAAGGGCTAAAATTATTAATTAACCCAGAATCGCACAAATTAGTACTATAATGCTTATTTTATCATTACTTATTAAATAAACAAATGAGGTGGCACTTTCTTAATTTGATAAAAAAAAAAGAAACGGGCAAGTTTGGCATCGAACGTGCGACCGCACATCGGCGTTCACCTAAATAACCAAAAATTCGACCAAGGCTTATATCCCGTGTTAGTAATAAAATGGTTTATTCTTTGCTAACATGTTTGCAAAAATTTGGATATTTAAAGAAAAAACTCAAAGTGGATTCGTACACCACAAGTATAGGAGTATATTTTGTGTAACATTTAAATCATTTTAAAATAGATATCTTTGAGATGACGTTATAAAATTGTTGGTGGGCACGTTCAGTCTTTTTTTTTTTTTGAGGAACCAAAATCGTAAAACCGCTTTCCTCGTTAGTGTATCTGTATATATGTTATATTTTTTTTAAATAATGTTCGTAAAAAGCAAAGACTGCTACGTAATTGTATTGTTACGTTGATCGGGTGATTAAAATCGGCGTGGGTGAAGCTCAACAATTTATTTCTTATTAACTCGGATTTGTTACACGACTAATGACAGAGTGGTTATGTACAAAATAATTTCGACGCAACTGCACTGGGTTTTTGTTAACTGAATTCAGCTCTCGTTGTTCGAACTACTAACTGCTCCCGACGGTGGTTCCCATTAAAACAGCACGTGGTCCTTCTCGAAACGCCTACGTCACCGCTTCTAGACTTCTCTGGAGCACCCATTCGCGACTTCCGCTTCCAGGCTCTTCTCTGGCCGCCGTCGCCGACAGTAAGTCATCAGCGCCGCATATACGAGAACCCACAGGCGTCGTACCGGGGCGGCGTATGGGTTTATTTCGTAACAGTATTATTGGTTACATTTTGAATTTTTTTAGGTAACGAGCTTTAAGTCTATATACTGAGCATTATAAGAATAAGCATCTTACCAAAACTTATTGCAAGTTTATTACATGCTTAAGGATATAGTTTGAATTAAGGTATTATAGATTATGTTATTACAGTTCCAAATTCTAGTTTTTGTAGGTTACAATGGTAATATAATAAATTACAGTATTCAGTTTGAGTCCTGTTCAGTAAACTTTTATTAGTCAGGAGTACGAACGATGTGATAATTTTTTTTTTGCCTTGATGAGTCTCGCACAGTGTTATTGCTATAATCCTCAATAACCAAAAAATCTATCAGAACTCATTCACTTTCCACTATTTTAGAGCCGGAACCGTGGGCCAATTCTAACCTGACGAAATAATCTCTCTCATATTTCTCATATTCTTGTGATTGTCTCTGTCATGGACTCTACACGGTCAATCAGACTGACAGTGAACTTACATTTATTAATGAATGTGACTGAAGGGATGACAATCTGATTATCATTCTGATTGACCATGTAAGGTACCCATTAAAACAAAAATAATTATTACATTTAAATTAAAAAGTATATTGTACTACAAGTGCGAAAAAGGGCTAATTTCACACCAGTGAGAAATCAATGTTTTCGCACGTGTAGTCCTTTTTCTATGACCAAATTTAAGTCACAGTATTTTTTTATTAACACTTGTATATCATTAATTAATTAAAATAAAGAGTTATAATTAATTATGTAAGTTTTGAATAATAACAGCGGATTTTTCATTTGTCTCTAATACATTCTCATTCATCTTCATCACACTTTTTCTCTAATCAAATTTATGTCGACAACTTTAAAACAACAACTTTATTAACACCTTATGAAACAACTCATTTTGAATTATAGTTAATCGTAGACTATTTCAAACAATGAAGCATTTTCTTGCTTTTTCGGTTATTTCTGGTAGGGGTCTTTTGAATTCAACACACAATCACAAACACACGAAGTTATTTATTAATTCAGAAATAATCTCAGTTGTTTACTTGTTTTATTAAATTAATTCAAATTCAACTTTTGTTCTGTCTACAGTCATTGCAATTTTTAAATGACAGTCACAGTCAGAGACTCACCATTGTGTACGACTTAAACTATACAAAAAATATTTTTCCACTCTTGGTGATCAAAATAGAATAGACGGGAATCTCGCTGTTTTGGAAAATTTTAATTAGGTCCGATTTTTTAAAATTTGTGAATGAATTAGTTAAACCGCAAAATTTTTGATTGAATCTTCACTTATTTTCGTAAGAAATCAGTTCAACCGAACTCCCAGAGGTTCTAGACAAGACCCAAAATATTGGGTCAAAGGCAAGTTAAGTTGGACATCAAATTACTAAATTTTTAAATCATTACAAATAAATTTCCACGGAATGGTTGGCACAACTGGAGTCCACAACACAATTTTTATTGGACTGTCCAATAAAAAAGATAGTTTATGGACTGCAGATAGTATCATAACTGAGGTGGTTATAATTGAGTTCGACATAAATTAAATTTACATCAAATGATGTAATGGTCCAAATCAATTTAGAAACAACAAAATCTATAGTGTAAAAAATTCCATAAAATAATTTTGTCATAGTAATTTATTCCGCAAGTCACGAGTCGTGAGAAATGGTACAAATCTATGCTTTTTATGCAGTATACTATATCTTTGTCGGACTACAAAGTCTCACACACTTCGTAGAATTTTAACGAAGACTCGACAGCATCTCCTGTCGCTACAAACTACAAACGGACCATATTCTGAATAAATCGCAAAGGCAAACCATTTGTTTTGTTCACTACCTCACGTAATGGTAACATCGTCTTTATAGCGCGCCATAATAATTTTCTTTATTATAGCTAAAAACATTCCACAGTAGTGAACTCGGCGTCTCAGCAGCTCTTTCAGTTCAAAGTTAAGTAAAACTTTATTCTCCATTCTACGCTTGTTTATTGTTTTAATTAATTGAATTCAAATTTTTGCTATGGGTCTAATTAAAATTATATAAGTCGGTCCTACCATTGTTGAAAAAATATGTCTTACACCGGATACAGTTACATAGAAATGCTTCATTTTAATACCGGGAACCATCTGAAATAGAAGAAAACATCCGCCACGATCTACGGAAAATAAACAATGAAGTGTAATAATGCCGTGTGAACGTTTAAAACTATTAAAAAATAATAATCATTCACAGGGAACTGTTAAGATTGTAGTATTTTCAAGCATCTTGAAACTATAACTCCTTCAATGAACATATCAACAACTCGCAAATCACAACAAACAGCTCAATCAAAATTACTTCTCCCGAAAATAAATATTTTTGATGCATACTTTTAACAACAAAATTCTTTCTAATGATGGTCTGCTCTCCACTCAAATACTTTTTCAATTATTAATTTCTAAAAATAGACGAAAAACAACTTCTCAAAAACTTTCAACTAAAATTATGATCTAATTAATCCAGCACTCAAGCTGTAGTGACGGGATGTTGCAAAAAGTTAATTATTGCTGTTACCAGTCAATAAATTGTTGTTTTATTGGAACTAAAATAAGGTGAGAAAGTTATAAAATCAAAATAGATGAAAGTGATTACAGCATCACATACATTACTCGCTGCATTTACCATCTGTGCGATAAGTTGTACGTTGAAATCGATACAAAATTTTTTAAAACAATCAAAGAAAGTCGTCACAGGCTGGAAAAACGAAGTAATTAGCATTTTTACCACGTTCAACGTCTATTCCCATGGACATAACGGAAGTAGCTGTTTGTTATTTAAGAAGCAAAAACTGAATTGTGCAAATAACGAAACTTCCGGGACAAATATACAAATAAATTATGCATATTTTGAAAATATCATAAATATAAAAACACTGACCAAGCTTTCAGCATCATTCATTTTTTCCTCGTCATTTTGATTGATAGGAATTGGTCCAGTCTGTAGCCTTTTCACTTAGGTACGACCACATTCTAACCACATTTTATCACAGAACTCCGCACATAACAAACACTGCACGAAATTTAATCGGAAATATGAAATTTCATTAAAAAAATATAATTAATAAGATTAAATAAACTGCAGACATGTAAACATCTGTCAGATTTGACAAGTAATGTCAACCTTCAATTTTCAAATTTGAACAACAAAATTGCACGCTTCACTAACAACACCGATATTTACTTTAACACAACTGCACTTTCGCTAAACAAAATATAAACATTATCTTATCATAAAGAAAATAAAATGTCTTTCTCGGAGATCGGCACTGCTTTCACCAGCGTGACGTCATTTTTAAATGTTTTTTAACGCGCTGCCAACCTGATCCGGATTAAATCCCAACGTCAGTGTCATTAACGTCAACAGGTGTGGTGATTTATGTGTGATTTAATTCCGTGAATAAGTCTAATCTTGTAGATAGTGATTGCAGTAATTGTTAAAAATATTGTCGTTGTTGTGCACTATTGTTATCTGTTTGTCGAGATTCAGCCGCACTTGTTTGATATTAGTGTCGCATAATCTGTTAACGTTTCAATCGTTTGTTTCACTGCAAGTGTGATTACGTCCGTAAATTTTTAAATAGATGCTAGTGTGAATGTTGAGATTTAAAATGAGCAAATCCCCAATAACAGTGCAACAATGGGTCGAATCACTGCCGCCACCTCACACCACATCCAGTTTTTATTCGTCCCCATTGAGAAACACAAGGAGGTTTATACCAAGAGAAATCTCGCTACAATCGGATGATGCCAGCAGCCACTGTTCCAGTGTGGAGTCTGTATTGGAACTTCGGAAACCAGACCCAGAAGCGGTTTTGTTGGGTTTAGGATTCGGTCCACCAAAAGGTACAAATCTGGTATCAAAAATTCCAAGCAGGTTTCTCCAGCCCTCCAAGGTAGAGTTATTTCCCACTTGCCATACCTTTATTTTCACAGTTTGTTGTAGTTGTTGACGCAAATTGATATTAATAAATTTTTGGAACAATATGGTGACACTAAATGTCCTAATCAGCAGTAAGTTTGATTATCTGATTAGTGGGTGTATAATTGTTTATTTTTACAGCTCTGCTCCACCATCTCCTGCCAGATCACAATCGAAATCTTGTTAACTATACATTCCTTTTTCATGTTGCTATAAGGTTTTGATAAATGTGAGTAACTTTAAACACTATATTTTTATTTATATAATATGACCAATGTGTATATGTTGATAAAATGCACACTCCAGACTTGAACAGCATGTTCAATAATGAACTAGTTTTGAATGAACAAATCATTTGCATAGATCAAGCAGATTGAAGCCATTTAAGTAATCCCTCCCATCAACGAATAACAAATTAAAAGGTGAGATATATTTAGGTAAACAAAAAAATGTGCTGTTTAAGTCTAATTAGACCATTTTCAAGTCTTGTCAACAGGATATTGTTCAAACAAAAAGCGTCACGTTATCTCAACACATGGACGACACCTGATGGCGATTTTTTGTTGTTAATAAAATATCAGATACTCATGAATACAAAATTACAACAAGATCGGAGCTGCTTGGTCCTTTCATTAATTTTTCTGTGGTTTTGAAGCACCAAAATATTTTTAACAATAAACTTAAAAAGAGCGCAATTAATCAATTTATTGCTTAAAACTACAAAATAAAGAAATTGTTACTACACAAACTTCCAAATTGAGAAATGAAATTGTATTACCGTCAGTTGTCGCTGATTTAATTTTTGTGTTGAAATAATTTGTCTGATATCACCTCCGAAGATTTCTTTGTTTATAATCGTCTGTTTGAAAAAAATCAGTAAAGAACTGTATTCTGTTGGCATGCCCTATTCAAAGAAGGGTAACGTATATTGGTTATACAACTATATTTTTTATTCTGTATATGATATAAATATGTGATGTTAAAAATGTGATTTAATTTTTATGTAAAAAAGACAAATCATTTAATGTTAGTCAATTATAAAAGATTAAAAAATTATACTGAACATAAAATGCCCAATTTTAATGAAATTTATATATAAAATCCGTTTACACTGTTCAAATAGAAAAAACATGCATTCTTTAACACATACCGAAACATCGCAGTTTGTCCCATAAAAATTTGTATGAACCATTTTGTAGTCATCTTCATCTGCGAAGTGTTAAAATGTTACCATGCATTTAAATTTGAACGGTGTCTTTGTACTACAAGAGTTTTCTAACGTTTTTCTCTAATAAGCATTTGGTAAAAAAATGTCACCTAGTCAGCCCTTTTTGACAAATTCTTGTAGTATTTTGTTAAAAAAGACCTTAAAATAAAATTCATTTAAAGCGGGAACAAATTCCAGTTATTTATTTTACACAAAATCACGTTGTGATTTTGTTAAGTGTAATGAAACGCCCTACTCGGATCAAAAAGCTGTTCCAGAAAAGACGCTTGCCCACTTCTAATAGCACTACGAATATTTTTAATAGAGTACAGCTTTTTGAACAATACATACCACTTTACTAACAAAGGTAAATCTCAAACAGCTATTTCAGTTGTGAGTTGCACTCATATTGTTGTCTCTATGGGTTGTATTTATGTGTATTTAGTCATTCCATAATTTGTGCATATTATACCACAAGAATAGTTCGCAAATTATGTTCTAGGCTTCCTTGAAATATGATGTAATTAAATTTGTAGCCGTTATACACATTTTGTGGACCAACTGTTCTTTTTTATTTGAAGGAAATAAAAAATGTTGACGTCCATTTTTCTTGTATTTATTTCGAACACCTCTAGTCTATAAACCCCTTGTTTTGGAATGAATAGCTACAACTCGAAGAGTTATACGAGTTGTATGGTATACTTATGGTGCGCGCGCAATGTAGAAATGATCTTAAGTATAGTTGGGGAGGTAAGACACCAGTTACAGCGGGGTCAACAACGGTAGTGTTAGCCACTCAAAAGTGCGATAATAATCGCATTGGATTAATTCATTATATTTGACTGAAGACACATTCAGTGATTTGGTTCAAATAAATTTAACCTCAAAATGCACCAATAAAAACAAACGTTTTATAAAACAAAAATTTATTATATGAAGGGAATACATTCTTCCTCCTTCGTGACACTCAACTGCTTCCATACAAAAAACACAACAAAATCAAAACGCAATTTGTAACGTGTCGAGAAATTTTATAAACGCTTTAATATTTACTATTTTCAACTTTTTGACATATTAACGCTTAACTTCTTAAACGTCTGGTACTACAACTAAAAAAACAACAGTAGTTTAATAAACAAAACTGAAAATTCAGTGCTAAAAACAAATATCAATAGGAATATAAAAAGTACTAAAAATTAATTCATCAGAATCTATATACAATATCGGCTTGCTAAGTTATCACCTGAAAAAAAGTTAATCGACCTCTGGAGATTTTTCTAACGTTTCTTCTTTATTCTTAGAATCGGTCTTCACTGATTCGGCTACATTATCGTTTGTTGTGGCTAGTTTATGATCTGAGATTTCTAAAGGCGTGGGAGTTACGTCACCCTGAGAAAGATTTTTCGAATTGCCAGCATCTAATGGTTTCTCACTGCTAATTTCACTTTCTACAGTCGCTTCAGCTTTTTTTGTTTCTGTAGAATCTACATTGGAAGTTTTCGTACTGGCCTCTTCTACATGCTCGTCGTCGTGATTGACTACTTGATCGATATTCTCATTGAAACTAGATTTAGATTTATCAGAATCTTCATTACTTGATTTGACATCGCTAAAACTTTCGTTTTTTTCTTCATTTGACAGTTGAGTGTCGTTTTCTTTATCTGATTTTACAGAATCGTCGAGACCACTGGATGCATCTTCTTGTTTGTCTTCTAATTTTTCGTTCACAGTATCGACAACTGAAGATTCTATAATAAAAGGGGCATTACTAGTTTCAATTTCTTGATTTATGTCATCAGTTGCATGGGGAGTAGAACTTTCACCAGAAGCTAAAACTTGGTTAGTGCAAGCGACGGATTCTAGACTAACATTTGGTTCAGTTGTGTCAGTTGAAAGCGATTCAGAAACTAATTCTTCCGCTATAATTTCAGTTTTGTCAACAGTTTGTTCCATAGCATCACTCGTAACAGGTGAACTATCAGTAACTCTTTCGTTAATGTCAGTACCGACATCTATACTCTCAATTTGGTTAGTACTTTGTCCACTAGGAGTTAGAATCGGAGTTCCCTCACCACAGTTTTCATCATTATAGTTAGCAATTTCGTCAGAGATGTTATTCGCACTAATATTTTCCAACTGCGAGTCGTAATCAGTACTTTCAGATTTGTTAGTATCTACACTATCCATCACACTATCAACTAAACCTTCCACAATCTCCTTGCTCTCATGACGATAAATGACTGAATCAACCAAACCCTCAACCACACTTTCTATTTCACGATGACTATCACATGTCACATACCGCTCAGATTCTGTTACCTCAGGTTTAGTACTCGATGGACTAGAAGTTACTACTCTATCGTGAAAAATATTTTCGTTAATGTAATGGCTGTGATGATCAATGTTAGTGTTTTGTGAGTGGTTAGTAGTGATACTATCAATCACGCCAGTGACTAAATTTTGCACAAAAACTTTGTTTTCGTGATATTCAATCACAGATTCAACCAAACCCTCAACCACAACTTTCATTTGGTCATCACCTGTTACTTCGGAATGTATGGTGTCGATCTCGGTTGCTTCTGTTCGAATCTTCGTGGGACTGGAAACGGGTGTTGTGGTTTTCACACCGTTTAACTCAAGACGGATGTCGTTTAAGCCAAGATACAATCTAATTGTATCGTCTGAAAAGAATTCCGCTTGGAAGATTGTATTACCTGCCGAGAAAAAAATCGCATTAAGTAATCTGTTCAAAAAAATCTTACAAGGATAAAAAATATGATAATGATGAATGATCACAGGTAAGGGTTAAGATTTTATGATTAAGGACGCTAAAAATTTGTTTTAGAAGAAAATTGTTTTAGTGATACTGAACGATTATTCTTCAAAATGTTGCATTGTTCAATTAAAAAACCAAATCATTTTAAATCATTTACTTTGTGCATTTAGTCAAAATCTGCCAGATTAACCAATAAAGTTCCGAATAACAAATGGCTTTGTACTAGTGATTTATTTTAAGAAAACAAATTAATTTTTTCCTAATTTGGTTTATGATGAGTGCGAAGAAAAAGTGTAGTATACAACTCGAATTGTAAAGTAATTACGCAACGAAATTAATATGTTGCTTTCAAATATGTATTGTTTTTATTGTCGAACGACTAAGGCAACGAAAGAATTAACATTGCCCAGTGGTAAATCTTAATCTTGTTTTATATGTAAATTGTGGTATTGATGGGTCTTTAAATTGTGAGCAAAATTTACAACTCATCTCCATACACTTTCTATTGTAATATACCTTGCTTTGGGTATAATTAATTTTTAGTGACCAATTATGAAGTATTACTATCATGTCTTGATTTTCATTTGCTTTATTTGGTTGACTTACTGTCAGTCTGTAACTACTTAAACCCACAAGATTCTACATTCTACATGTCGGGTAACTATCAGTGTGAAGTTTACTCACTAGACGCTAATCAATTTATGCAATCACGCAAATAGATACGATCGTAAAAGTGATTTAAAAATTATTTAAATAAAGTTAATATGACTTACTTTAAAAAATACGTGGTATAATTTTACTTGATTTCGTTCAATTTTCACACAAAAAAATCCCAATTTTGAAACAATTACATTTTAGAACAAGCAACTAGCAATGCTGACGTAACTAAATAACTAAACGAAGTCAAATCAAATTCAAACCTTAATTAGTTTGTTTGGTAGTAAACTCCAGCATAAATGAATTTTCTTTCAAGGCAAAATAGTTTGCATTATAATGGAGATAACGGGTGTCCAATTAAAAATCTAGCCAAAAGGGCTGTGTCCTATTCTTTTTTTTTTTCGTATGTTGTAGACAGTTTTCAGGTTATTATTCGTTCACAACAGTAGTCGATGTGACAAGTGGATAACAGCTTTTAAAATTCATTTCGAAAACGACATACGGAAAAAATAAAATCTGGTGACATAACACCCTTAACGACATTTTTAATTTGGCACCCGATAGTTTCATGGTGGGATATCTCACAAAGAATGTCTAACAAAACTAAAAATAAAGAAACTTTTAGTAACTCATTCGCGCACATTTGTAATTTTTTTGCAATGTATCAATCAAATTAAATTTCCCTCTTCAAACTAAAAACAATGGCGTTTACAGAATTTCAATATCTCCATCCATTTTCAAGACATAAAGCCGAGGAATTGACCAGTAAAGTAAGGTTAGAATTTAGAATGCGCGGCAGTTCATAATTCAAAAATTCTACTATGGGTTTCTTATGGGAGCTTGATTTTACAGACAAAATACACCGCACAGGTAGAAATCTTAACTAGTTCATGCTACAAGCGATAAAGACTGTACAATTATCTTCCTGTTACTAAAGGTTTAACTATATAAAAAGCTTGTGTTAAAGAAATATCGCAAATTAAAAACAACGTTGTTCATCAAAGTAACGTACATCGTTTCTAATGCCTTGCGCATGAGTGAAACGGAAAATCCAGCAACACGCCGAACAGAAAAGGAACGCGAATATTTTGGAGGGCTAGTGACGTTTAGATCGTGAAAATCCCCAAAATATGACAGTTGATTTCGTATTTTCATCACAACAATCATAATCACAATTTTTGGATGATATATTAGTTCTGTGCATCTGTGATATTGGTTTACATTAGGTTGTATATGTCTGTGGACTGGTTTTATTGTATTTGTTATTAATAATGACAGAAAGACATGTGTTAACAATAGGGGCAATTACCAGTTTTTTTTTTTTGTTGACGATCGGAAATGCATTGTGAACGGAGAAAATTCTTTGCAGTCAAATAATGCAGTGAAAGTCACTTGGTATACTGAATTAAATGTGCTTGAAGAGTTTATTCGAGCTAGAATGCGAAATAGCCAATGGTAAGTTAATGTATATTGATAAATTCTGTATCAAGTACAATTATGAGGTATTTTGTTTTATTTTGCATAGATATTCCTTAAGAGAGGCAACATGTGAAACCACAACGGGTGCATTTGTATGTCACCATATGGCTACACCTGCCCTACACGGGCGTTATAATGTATTTTGGACCAATAATTTGCGTTCTTGGGACGTACATCTGAAGAAAAGTGAATCAGCCGAGGTCAGAGCTGTGATCTCTGAAAATTCTTTTAATCCCCAAGTCAACCTAAACACAGCTAATGTTGAGGTACAACTTTATGAAAGCTTACGACAAACTGATGGGAGCGAAGCACTGCTTTGGCTATTGGGCCCTGAACCAGAAAGATCTGAAGAAAATCTACTTCACAGTGTCGAAGAACTATTAGTGTCCGAGGACTATTTAAATGGTCCATTAATATAACAGTTTGTGGGTCAGTTTTTCACCAAAAGTGAATCAGAGTTTGCATTAGGCGGTGCAATTTTTTATTGTAGAATATTTTTTTTTGTTTTGAAATAAATTGGTCTTTAAATTGTGATTTTTTTTAAATGGGTGTTTCAGACCCAATTCGTACTAAAATGAAAGTGATTTTTACTTGTACATGAAAGGTTTAATCACGAATGCTAAGTTTTTCATTTTCTACCAAAAAGTGTGAAAAGAAAAAAGCTTGGGATTGATGATGATTCTTAAATCAAAATTTGGCAATTGATTGAAAACATTTGCAAATATGAGATCTCCTTTAAGTATTATTTTATATTCACAGCCGTATCTCTAGCATGTGAACATCAAAGCCATTTATGTGGAGGGGGAAGTCAATGACAGTATGAACCACTGTGCGACATACGTTCGAGGCAAATGTAGTGGTAAAAGTTGAATTCAAATATTTATTAAATACCACCGGTTCCGTTCGTGTTTGGTATCAAGATCAACAGTAAAAATATCAGTCTTAATGGTACAAGTAGTGGTATATATAAGAAAATTACTTTAATGGTAGAATTTAAGCGTTAAAATGACGCCTCGATTTCACCCATAAGGATTACACGGGGAACTGAAATTCGGGTCTCGTGTTATGAACTGAGTTCAAATTTCGCGCGTCATTCACTTTACTGGTCAATTTTATCTGGGACACTTATATGTACAATCTGTTAAACATTTTTGTCCTGATTACATTCGAACAAATTACCTCTTTACTTAAAACTGAAGTGTATACACAAGAAGTAAATTTTGAAAATGAACATAACAATGTATAATTATTTCCCGGCTTGTCCGAATTGCGATTCATTTTTAATCCGCAACCGAACTGCGGTAAAATTCTTGGTTAGAGGTTAAGCTGTCTCGCTTTAATCAGGTACCTAAATGATGGACACAGTTATTGAATACTTAAAACTCTGAATCAAGAACTTAATAAAAATTTAATAAACAACATGAACATATTATATTTATTTCCCAATTTACTGTCAGTAAATCCACTTTGTTTATTTTTCGATCCTGTTATGTATGAAAAACTAACCGTTGATCACATACATACATATTAATAAATTGTAGTGATGGTAGATGTCAGTGTCGAATTGTGCCGTCGGGACACCGGGAAATTTCCCGGTGGGCCCCGAAACAGTCTACTTCTTTTTGATACAACACATTTTTCACATATACAGCATGTTACAATGACAAATGCAATAACTATTCCTACAAATATAACAAACTCCTAAATAAATATTAAATAAGAGCATATTTTTACTTTGAGAGCGTAAACTCGGTACAAAACAATTGGACTCCCGTTTCCGTCTGTCTGTTTGTCTATCTGTCTGTCTGTCCGGATTTTTATAAAACGTACAATCTCCGAAACTACTGAATCCATTGTCAAATTTTATAAGTGTGTCGCGGATACCGTGTAGATGGTAATACGCTAATCAAAATTTGCCTCATCATCCCTACCAACAATTTATTGACGTCATCTTCAAAATTTACAGTAGTATATATTATTTAAATTTTATAAAATAAAATACTCTTGCACATGTGGTTGATGAAACATTGAACCCTGTTGAACTTTTATCCTAGACATCTAAATTTTTGGAGAAAAAATCTTGCAAGTTAACTTTGGAACTCCAAAACCGATTGGTATGAAATTTTATAAACATTTTAAGGTTATCGTAAGCATGGTAAATCGTTACTCAATTTTTTTTCGTTTATAAATAAATAAATGTTCTTTAATTTATATTTACCAAATATGAATTTTGGTGATTGTTATTTCAAATCCATTTCTCATCTGAATGACTCGGGTTTAAGAATTGGATTAGCGGACGTTTTAGATGAAATTTCTAAATTGCAATCAGTAGAAAGTAAAATGAAACGTTTCACCCCACATTTTTTTTGTTATCTATTTAAACTATTTTTTCACCCTGTTGTCATCTATTTTAAGGTGCTGTATCATTTTTTTAAGCAAACAGACCCATTTTGACGTTAAATTTTTTTATTGCTTCTTAATAAGATAAAAAGTCAATTTTTGTGTGTTTTTTTTTAATTGCATTTTTTACATTTCACCCAAATTTTAAGGTTATAAGTGGCAAGTTTTCACCCTAGACATCCAGATTTTTTGGGAATAATCAAAATTGTATAACAACATTTTACTAATAAGAAAATTATCCGCAATTCGGACAATTATTATTCGCCAATTGACAACTCGGACTATTTTAAGCAACAACTGTTTATGATATTAACCCTTCAAATTATATACAAAATCTTTCTGACCGCTGCGCACAATTGTCCCTTATCTCTCAGGTGGTTTGCGCCCAACTGTCCGGTAGGCTTAGGAACACTTGCAGATTTTTCTGACCAGAGCGCGCAAACGCGGTGAAGAGTGTACCCCATTTAATAGTGGGCAATAAATCAAATACATATATATTTCTTTGCGCAATATCACGTTACATTCGTGATTAAGACAAAAACAGATCTTTAGTTACAGAGAAATTAATACTTTGCTACTTATATTATCGCACATTTCCCATAATTATATTGTTACGTACAAAGAATTTTATAATCGGTTATTATAACGAAATGTTAACAATTTACAATATTTTTCTAATATACAGGGTGTCCCAGAATTCGCGCCATTCCCGTGAATGACATGTTCCCTGTCCCGAACTGTGCCGTAATTCGCAAAAAGAATTGTCCAGGCTTTAACCGTGTGAGAACTGGAAGGCGATTAAGTTGACCAATAGAGAGGCTGCTTTTATATCCGAACGTTTCTATGTTCAAAGTTACCTATGCCAAGAACAAAAAATCGGGTAATACTAAAGTTGAATGATTTTTTTCCGAATCCCCCTCCGTCAACAAAAGGAAACAGAAGTGTGGTTATAAATTTAATCGTTTTGACAATTGTTTGTCATAAACTGTCACGAAGTTCATCACTGACCTGAAGAGATGCTTCTGCGCCAAAGATGACTGATTAATGTACACAGAGACATCAAGGTTTACTTTAAGGTAAGTAGCATGGGACAGAAGTTATTTCTGCTGCCATTCTAGTTAAATTGTGTTTAACTGGGCTGTACATGTCATAAGAGAAGCTGTTTCATTTCATCGTAGGCAAATAATACATTTATTACTACTCTACATAGTGTAGATACCAAAGAGCAGGTATTAGAAGTCATTTTCTTAGAGCCCCGTGAATAATGTGTTGTTCTTTTAAACGAAAATTAGTACATTTTCAGAATTCACTATGCATCATATGCCTGATATTAAGTTTATCGTTATTTCTAAAAAAGAGTACCACATGTCCATTCAAAGAACGTTATTAAGTGTACTAAAACATAAATATCGCCTTTGATTAATCGGTGCTTATGATTTTCAATAAACAGTATCAATTTTTACTGAACAGCTTAGTTGCTGATACCTAATCTAAGCAACGAAAAAAGAGACGAGACTCCACTTCTCTGGTGTGTTAAGATCATAGGTATCTGCTGTGGTGTCAATCATGCGGGGGAGATACTGAAAACTGAGACTTATTCAAGAATAATATTGATGCTGCACATGATGATTTAAAACAGTTTCTTTAAAGTTGTGAGTACTTTCTAGAGATTGAAAAGATACGAATAAAAATTATAACAAAAATCGTTTAGTTGCATTTTTTTTAAGAACAATACAAACTATAAACAAATCAGTACCAATACCACTAAGTTATTGATGTCTTATTCATACTAGTATAAAGAATATTTGGAAATGATGTTAATTTATGGAGAATGTACACGCTATGCAGCCACTGCTGTGCGCGAATATACAGGTATTTTCCCCAATCATCGGCTCCTTGACCAGCATGTGTTTCGTCGTTTGTTGCATCCAGCAAAAGAAGATGGATCTTTTCAGCCTATTCGGAAAGGCCGTGCTGGGGCTCCACGGATTATACGCGTAGACGGTGAAGAACAAGTGGCACAAATGAATGGATGCTCAAGATCTATCATGCATCGTATCCTTACAGACAAAAATCTGCATCCTTACTATTGACGAAAGTGCAGCATCTGCGACGAGCCGACTGCGCGACGGGTGCATGTTGCTAAATGGTTACTGCGACAAAATGAACTAATAAATCCTGATTTTTCACGGCATATTCTTTTCGCCTACGAATGTTGATTTTCCCGAAAAAGAATATTTAATGCGCACAATTAGCACTTCTGGGCAAACGAAAAAATCCACATTTCGCTAACTTGAGAGCATATCAAGAGCAATACTATTAATCTATGGGCTGGAATCGTTGTACTGTAACGTTACGAGCATTAAACAATGTGCTCAAAATGACCACCATTAACTTCAATGCAAGTTCTAGCTCGTCGAATTATGTTGTGTTGTGTATTATTTAACATCTCAGGAGTAACTGTAGCGTAGGTTTCGTGCAGTCTCTCTTCCAGTTCTTCTAACGTATCTAGGGGTTTTCTACGAGTATATACGTAATTTTTAATTTGATTCCAAAAAAAAAAGTCCAAAGGAGAAAGGTCTGGAGATCTAGGAGGCTAGATGTTAGTACTGCTACGCCCAATCCACCTATGAGGATACTCTTTTCAATGTTCGCCGTACAAGTATCGAATTATGTGGAGGAGCGTCGTCGTGCTGAAACCACATATTCCGCCGTACATTCAAAGGAACGTCTTCCAACAACGCCGGAAGCTCTAGTCGTAGAAAATTAGCATATGCCTCCCCATTAAGGCGATCAGGTAACACAAACGGCCCCACCTAAAAAAACAGGAACGGAGTTTAGTGATTATTTTATCAATGCATTAAAATTTTTGCCACAGTAGTACCAATGATTCCAGCCCATAGATTAATAGTAAATCGCTCCTGATATGCTGTCACCCTAGTGAGATGTGGATTTTCGTGTGCCCAGAAATGCCAATTGTGTGCATTAAACATTCCTTCTCGGGAAAATGAGCATTCGTCGGTGAAAAGAATGCGCCGTGAAAAATCAGGATTTAGTTCATTTTGTCGCAGTAACCATCGAGCAAAATGTACTCGTCGCGGGTAGTCGGTTGGTCGCAGATGCTGCACTCTCGTGTAATGGTAAGGATACAGTCTTCTCTCTTGAAGGATACGATGAGTGGTCGATCTTGGGCATCCACTCATTTGCGCTACGTAGAGGACACTTCTCCTAGGATCCGCTTCCATGTTTTCTAACACTTGCTCTTCAGCACCTACACGTACATTCCGTGGAGCTCCAGCACGGCCTTTCCGATTAGGTTGAAAAGATCCATCTTCTCTTGCTCGATGTAACAATCGGTGAAACACATGTTGGTCTGGGTGCCGACGATTATTCACGGGGCTCTAAGAAAATGACTTCTAATACCTGCTCTTCGGTAGCTACTCTATGTAGAATAGTAATAAATGTATTATTTTTTGCCTACGATGAAATGAAACAGCTTCTCTTATAACATGTACAGCCCAGTTAAACACAATTTAACTAGAATGGCAGCAGAAATAACTTCTGTCCCATGCTACTTACCTTAAAGTAAACCTTGATGTCTCTGTGTACATTAATCAGTCATCTTTGGCGCAGAAGCATCTCTTCAGGTCAGTGATGAACTTCGTGACAGTTTATGACAAACAATTGTCAAAACGATTAAATTTATAACCACACTTCTGTTTCCTTTTGTTGACGGAGGGGGATTCGGAAAAAAATCATTCAACTTTAGTATTACCCGATTTTTTGTTCTTGGCATAGGTAACTTTGAACATAGAAACGTTCGGATATAAAAGCAGCCTCTCTATTGGTCAACTTAATCGCCTTCCAGTTCTCACACGGTTAAAGCCTGGACAATTCTTTTTGCGAATTACGGCACAGTTCGGGACAGGGAACATGTCATTCACGGGAATGGCGCGAATTCTGGGACACCCTGTATAGATTTAGAAAAGTCCATTGTACGCCCCTCTCCGTAATAAATGTCGTCAATTTTTGCATGTTTTTTTTTCACAGGAAATAGCGTATAAAATCAAATTTTAATAAAAGAGAGATAAAATATACCTAAACAAAAAACTCATCCTACGTCAATTTTCCTCGTTTTTAGGAGACACTAAAATTGGGAAGAAAATTGTCCCGGACTAAATCGAATGATACCGCCTTATTCTCACTCTACATAATCAACGCCAGTTTCAATTCCTAGAAACTCGCTCTATATACATTAACATTCCAGGGTTGAAATATACAAATCCCTTTCTAAAATATGACAATATCACTGAAAGAAGACGTCAAAAATATGTTTCATAGAAAAATATGCACTTATCATTGAAAAAACTACTTGTTTAACCTTGTATATACGTTTTGATTTCTGGTGATGGAACGCTGCACGACAATCAAGAATGAAATAGGTATCAATGAAAACTCTACATTGTGGATGGGAATACCACTAGACGTTCATTATTTTTTTTATATTTTTTCCAGGAATCTGATAAAACTGGAACAGTTTTTATGTAGTAATTTTATAGCAATTGTTGAATTTGTTGCGACAAATTTTTAAATTGCATTCATATTTTATCACTTTTTTATCATCAACTTATAAAGGACAATTCCACGGTTTACATTCGTGAAATTATTTATTAGATACGGATTTAATAAACAAAAATACAACATAACATCGGAACAGGGAATTATAAAACGACCAATTTGAAAAATCTTAGGGTCGGCCCGAGGTAGCTCGGATAATCTTCATCCACTCAATTTTATGGTTATCGTCGGACCCAATGTGTGACAAAGATCGCACTATGTACCGGCAATTTTTACGTCTGCAGCGTTTGCTTTTTACTCGGTTAGTATCAATTGTGCAATATTTATTATAAAAACAGTTTTATCCAATTTGTTAAGAAAGACCCATTTTACATCCCTCTTTTTGTAATTTTGTTCTTATTGCAATATGAATAGTGTAAGCGCAATGTAAATGTAAATTTTTGCATGTTTTGAATGTTTTTTTTTACAGAACATGACGTTTAAAATCAAATTTTAATAAAAGAGAGACAAAATATGTATAGTAAGGATTCTTAAACAAAAACCTATCATCCTAGGTCAATTTCCTTCGTTTTTAAGCGATACTAAAATTGGGAACAAAATTGTCCTGAATTAACCCGCCTTAAACCAACGAATGCCCGAACAAGCTTTTTGATAAAATATTATCAATCTATGATGCCGCTTTGAAATTTACGTAAATCCAAGCGATGTATTCAAGAGATTAGTTATGCATCAAAAATTCACCCGGGTCAACGTTGGGGTAAGATAATTTCATAATGTTGAAACACAAACTAGTTAATATTCTATCACTGTACATGACCTTTACAGACACCTCGGTTAAATTCATTACAGAATGGAGTAGAGTAGACCAGCCCTGCGTGGCAATAGAACGCCAAACTTTGACCGAGGGTTTACAATGTATGAATTACGAATTAGGAGCTGCGGTTCCTTAAGTCTTGGTTTACACAATTCTATAGTATAAAAAATTTCAAAATCCCCTTAGCAATATTATTATCTCCTATTGGTCTACAGGAAAACACAGTAAAAAGCATAATAAAACTCACTGACGCTTCTATAAACGCATTCATCAGCTATTCCATTTATTCCGAGCTCACTTGAAAGCGAGCAAATTTACCGACGTTAATCGTGCTCACTTTCAAACATGATAAAAGGAAATAATAAAAATAGTCATTAATGCACTTTTTACCAATACCTTTGCCTTGAAAAATTTAACACGGACAATCTAATCGAACGATACTCTTTACTTATAAAAAACTTTCAGCATCATTAACGAACTGAAGAAAACATTAATCACATCTTGATAATTTATTTGAAGTAAAAAGTACTCAAACGTCCATATAAATTACTTCCGCAAAAGAAAAATGTTGCAAACTTCTGTATCAACACTTACCATTATCGGTAATCTCTTCAAACTTCTTAATAGACTCCTCACCCCACGTCACATCCGGCAAACTTTCAAGTTTGTACTTCGTCTGCAACTGCTCCTCGCCCTTAATTAAGATCATCTCATCCAACCCTTCAAAACTCTTAACGCGGACATCTTCAGTCTTTGGTAAAAGCAAAGTTGTTACATCGACTCCATCGAGCAACAACTCGACTACCGCCGTCTCGCCTGTACTCAATTTCTTTACATTAAAAGTAGTCTGTCCGTCAGCGGAAATCTCACTGAACTTCCGCACCATTTCCGGTCCCCAGTTAGTCAAATTCTCCGGTTTTTGTAAGCTACACTTTTGTGCTAGTGGCGGTATTATCACTAATTCTTCTGGAAGCTCTCTTAAACTACAACTCGTACACGAGTTACCGTAGTCCACGAATAAGACTTCGATACCCGCAACGGTATTTGACAAAATTCTTGCACGGTACCACATCTGGTCGTCCGGGAAAAGAGCGGCGCACAGAGCACCTGGAGCTAAGTCTTCCAACTCTGAGAAATTCTCAGCCCCTGATAGCTGTTCGGCGACCCATTCCAACTCGTCTACGCAGTTTTCCAGCTGGATCCAGAACTCCGACGGCGAATTCAAATGACTGACAAAACCTACACTACTCGTTTCTGTCAAAATTTCGTCCGCTAAAGCCAAGTTCTCTTCAATCAACACTTCGCGGATATTTATTCCGTTAGAAAACAATTCGACGTAGTTCGTTTTTTCGTCTTGGCTCAAAAATTGGGCTGTCAGAGTTTCGACGTTGCACAACTGATCGAATCGTTCGGATGCTGTGCTGGTCCATTCTTCGTCTATTGGTTTGATTTTTAATCTACATCTGGTTGCGTGGACTTCCAACGACAACAGATGCGGCGGGAGAGTTTTTACGTGAGTTTTATCGTTCTCGAGGACATCCGTGTTACCGTAATCGACGAATCGAACGGTGGTAATGTCGGCATCGGCGTCTAAAACTTGAGCTCTGTACCAGAGCTGGTCCAACGAATATGGGGCGGCACACAATACTCCTACAACAGAGTTCTCCATGTCGGGCATTTCAGGCATTTGCTCTTGCAAACTAGCTTGCAACTGCTCGATGACATCCAAAGATTCTGCTAGTTGTAGGTAGAAGTCACTTGGACTATCTGCATGGCTTAGAATGACCTGAGTACCGGACGGTGCTGACGTTTGAACAGTAGGTTCCACTGCTTCGATGGTTTGTGGTTCAATTACAGACTCTTGAGGTTCTTCTACAGGTAAAATAGGGGTTTCTTCTTCTTGTATAGCACCTTCTAGGCCGGATTCCGTGAATGTTAGGTTCACAAAAACGACTTTACCAATTAGATCTTCGGTAGGGTTTTGAATGGTTACCTGCAATGAAGTTTTCCCAGTAAACACTAAACGGTAAAAAAATATCAGCACTTACCCCTATGCACATAATTGGTAATTGCATAAATTCTAAGGCCAGTTCTCGCAAAGCATCAACTTCAACTTCTTCTGAGTTGCCGTAGTCCACATAAGTAACCGTAACCTTGGTTTCTTCAATTTTTGTTACTCTGCCTCTATACCAATTCGTGTCAGAGCCTTTAACGGCATAGAGGTAATTTTCAACCGGAGTGACAGGTTCTTCTATTGGGGTATTTTCGTAAAATTCAAAACTTCTGTTGAGCAAGTATTCAATAGTTTCGGCGCAATCTGATGGCTGAATATAAACAGTTGTGTCTTCAATGTAAGTAATTTCACCAGATGTGGAAGAATATAAGATCAAGTATGGGCACAGGAGTTCTACAGATTCATAAGCTCCTTCATCGTTATTTACTAGTTTAATTTTTACGCCATTTTCATCGTACACAGTGACCTCCAACCTGAAAATTTATTTGGTTGTAATTCTCTAAATACATAAAACTAGTACGCAGGGTGAAAATAGTATGAGAAGAACATGTTGAGTTAAGTTTTATATAAAATATATTTGGCTACAATTCAAACGTACAATCGCAAATTACCACTGTGCATTAAATATTTGTACATTTCTCTAAGGAAATGGATGACTAAGTAAAGAACAAAATTAAAAATTTGTTCGCCAAGAAAATAAAACCAAAAGCAATTTTGAATCTTTTTGCCCAGAAATACAAAGTAGTGCCGATTATTTGGAAAGTTGGCTTGTCAAAAACTAAACTACTCCCCAAAGCCTTTATCATAAACCACTTCACAACCGATGAGGACGACGGGGTTTAACGGTTTTATGGCATTCTGTTAGAAAATGGACATTATAATCCACGCAAATGCAACCTACAAATTAAATTGGCAGGAATTTCCTGTTTTCACTTCAAGCTGAGAAAGTATTATAATAAGATCAATCGGAAGAATGGATGCTTTCATGTTTTCTCGATGTTTCATGACCCAGAGTATGAAAAAATACGTCCCCCATTTTCATCCGTCTGTTATCTGTCTGTCGATTTTTCGATTTTTATTAGATAGATAATGTCCAAAACTACCGAAACGATTGTTATCAAAGTTCATAAGTATGTTAGTAATATAGATAATAAAACGCGAACCAAAATATGGCTAATCATTAATTAACAGTAAAAGGAGGTTTTTCGGCACAAGTTGCTTTTACTGTATCTCATTTCCGACAAAAGTCGACAATCTTTCTTTTATAATTTTGTAAGCTGAAAACAATGGTGAAAACCGTATCTCGAAATTTCCATAAATAACTAAATAAAAAAAAATGTATCGAAAGTTATTTCGTCAGAAATTGCCTCGCTTCTGAAATATAGTCCAACAAATAGTGCTTCTCTGAAAAATTATAAAATTTGATTTTGCGGAATTTTACTTTTTTGTGATAAACCTCTATGGAGTATAAACAATATAGAAGGTACTAGTCACAGTGTAATAAAAAAAGGTTTCACCTTATTACGAGTATATTCTTAAAAAAGACACTTGGGGCCCGCGAGAAGGTTTGGCCTTCTTTAAAAAAGGACAGTTGGGACACCTCAGGTTTCACATTCTTAAAAAAAAAGGACGTTTGGGGCCCCCGAGAAGGTTTTATATTTTTAAAAAAGACCGTTGAGACCCCCGAGAAGATTTTACATGCTCAAAAAAAGATATTTGGGGCCCCTAAAACAAGATTTTACATTTTTAAAAACAGTTGGGACCGCCGAGAAGATTTCACATTCTAAAAAAACCATTTGGCGCCCCCGAGAAGGTTTTACATTTTTAAAAAAGCCTGTTGGGACCCCCGAGAAAGTTTTAAATTCTTAAAAAAAGATCTTTGGGGATCCCGAGAAAGTTTTACATTTTTAAAAAAGGCAGTTGGAACCCCCGAGAAAGTTTCACACTAAAAATAAAAAAAAAATTGGGACCCCTGAGAAGGTTTCACATTCTACAAAAAACATTTGACGCCCTTGAGGTTTTACATTTAAAAAAAGACAATTGGGACCCCCGATACGGTTTCACATTCTTAAAAAAATACATTTGGGGCCCCCGAGAAGGTTTTACGTTTTTAAAAAAGACAGTTGGAACCCCCGAGAAGGTTTTACACTTTTAAAAAAGACAGTTGGAACACCCGAGGTTTCACATTCTTAAAAAACGACATTTGGCGCCCCCGAGAAGGTTTTACATTTCAAAAATATTTTATTAGTGCGCATAAGCTGCTTTTACAATCCTACCCATATATTTTTTTGATTAGATTATAGACATTTATTACGTTTATTTAAAGACATCAACAATTATTGATTATTGAAATCCAATTGAGAAACACTCTGAAAAAGAATCGAAATACATATACGGAAAACCACAAAGGGATAATAAATTAGACTAACCAACGTCACGAATACTGCAACATTTAGTTGGCGTGTTTTTCCTAAAGTGTTTCCATTCTAACTCGACTTTTTCTCACTTTTACAAATAATTACTGGACTGACTCATCATCACCGACAAGCGGAAGTCGCCATGGGCACTCCAGAACAACCTCGATCGCGAAATATCTAGAAAGAAACGCGTGGCTGTTTAAATAGGGACCACCGCCGGAAACGGGCAGGCGAGTCCAGTCAAAGAGAGAATGTGAGTTTTGTCAAATCCATTCCCGTCGAGTCGGAATTATTCTGTACATAATCGGTGTATAATTAATCGTGTAAATTAGTACTATTCAGAAATAAATGGTTGAGTTTTACCCACGCCGATTTTAAATACCGATTATCATAACAATATTATAATTGGAAAGTTTGCAAAGTCAAAGAACAGTTCGAAGCATAGATTTTACCTACATTTTCTGTTAATTTGGTTTTACCTCTTAGAAAAATAAACTACTGCATTATAAAACATTATAGCGTTTATTACAAAAACAAAATGATTCGATTTTACGCATTCACTTAGTAGAAAGTTGTATTTACCCGTCCAAGGTAGGTAGGAAACGGTGTGAGACGAATAAAGTAAGACGAAAAACCGTAACAACTTAACTAATAGTTCACAGAATTAAAATAATAATTATCTGCAAGACTCACAATAGTCTAACAATAGTTTGAAAACTGACAAACGTCTAACTTCGTGTTTGTTCAACATTTCACAGATTGTAGAGTACAAAAATGTGAGTTTCTCGTTTCAGTCTGTCTACAAGCGATTAAATTTACTCAAAATTTTGTCACATAAATCACACTTAAAACTTATGCCTTAAAACATTTTTAGCTTTATGTATATACATATGGGTAATCTAAAAAACAAAATAAGATCTGGACAGTACAATGAAACTTTACAATTTGTCTTTCAACTTGTACAACAAAGTTCTTTGAAATTTTATTATAAAACTCACATAGAGCGAATAAAAACAGAACACTATTCATACAAACATTTGCCTACGTCATCCCCAAACATTAAATAAATGTTCAAACAAAATACGCTGCAACAAAGTAATCTTATGATAGTGTTGTAATTGTTCATTTCAAAATTAATATCTCAATCCCCATCAAAGAATTAATAACTGATCCCAAAAAAAAAATATATATACATATTTAAAAATACTTCATAATAATAAGTCATGTTCGAACACTAACTTCGCAGTTTTTTTTTTTTTTAGTGACAGTGAAATTTAACATAGATTGTTTTTATTAACTGCGAAAATATTAGTAAAAAAATCCGAAATTTTGCATGGAAAATATTGTTCATTTGTGTTCGTTAAAAGCAATTCAAAAAATGAACAACACAGACAAAACCAGAGACAGCTAGAGGAAATCTGCATTTTTGTATTATACGAATTGCGAACTGCCAAAAAAAACATGAAATGAGACTCCTTAACTATCAGTTAAGAGTGAATCAAAAAAGCAGAAAAAAATTGTTATAACAAAATATTCAGTGCATGACTGTAACAAATGTTAGTTTAACATAATCTCAACATAAATTTAATATCAACATCGTTATTGTCTGAAGCTCCGTCTATTTATCAACTGACACATGTAACGCAACCTGTGACACATTAAATCGTTTTAAATTAATCAGATTACTTCAAACGTGTCCATACAAGAAATGAAGAGTAATTAAATTCTACATAAAAAACACTCACCTATCTTCTTTAAGGTCATCAACATAAACAATCAAAATCTGCTCCAATTTTTCCTGCAAGTTACTTTCCCATGTTACTGTTGATTCACTCAAATTAAAAACACTGCAACTCAATAAAACTCCTGACTGTAGAGACACAGTAAAATCAGCTAAGCTATTCATACTGATTAACATAGCTCTAAACTGCTGCCCTATCAGAAGAGGTAACTCAGGCGGAGCGGGAGGCATTGCAGCTTTAGCCAAACCATCCCGCACCAGTGCACTTGCGATGTCCTCACCATCACATTCCAGATGAACGGCAGTTCTAAAAACAAACAACTGTACCTCTTCTTTTCATGAAATAACGGTGCACCAACCTATCATTTTCTGTCGAAACAAATCTACAGAAAAATTGCTTCTTATCAAAATATGCACTAAAGCTGCCACTATCTGACCAACTCTGTGCCGGCGGTTCGATGCCATTCAGCTGACAACAAATAGCCTGAGCCGGGAGTTCCATGAATCGCATTTCAATCGGCCAAACTTTATCAACGATAGAAACGTTGCCAAAATCAACGTAATATACTTTGAACTGTTTGCCGACGGTTTCCAAAATTTGAGCGCGATATAAGACATTATCTTCTGGGAATAAGGCAATCACTGGAGCACCAATTTCAACCCCACTTGACTGATGGCTTTTGTAAGCTTGTTGAATTTCTTCCATCATTTTTTTGAATGCCTCCTGATAAAAGGAAAATTGTAATAGAAACGCAATTAATGGAAAGAAAACATACTTGGGTGTTTTCAATTTGGCAATAAAAATTCGTGGGATTGTGGAACCAGCTGATAAGAACAATTGATTCTGTGTTATCAATACTTAGATTAACGAATTTAGCTGTACTCGGAGCAGCGTTCGGTACTTCTGTGGTGGTAGCGGGAGCAGTATTCCAGGTATCGCCCCCTCCCGAGTTACTTCCGAAAGCATCGTTTAAAGGCTTTTCGAATTTTTTGTTAAAATTCGGCTTAGTTTTATTGCGAAAGTTATCTCCTCTGTCTTTATTAAATCCTTTGCGGAAGCTTTTCTCTGAACCGCTTGAGCTTAACTCACTTGTTTCCCTAGAATTTATCACTGAAATCTAATCCACCTACAAGATTTATTATTTACCTTCTAAAATCTGGCTTCTTCTTAAAACCACCTCTTTGTCCGGTTTCGGTATTATTCCAATCGTTATTGCCTTCGTCAAATCTATAACAGCCCATTTCAATTAGGTACACGCGTTCTAGACATAAACGTACCTGTTCCTATTCGTTTTAAAATTGTCCCTACCTCTCCTTTCTTTATTACCCCAACTATCCTCTGGTTTACTTTCTGTATCTCCCCAAGAGTCATCTTTAGAATTGAAGCTTTTCTTATCGTTTTCTCTATTACTCCAGTTATCTCTTTTATTAAATTGCCTTGTGTCATTTTCTTGACCACCACTCCAGTCGTCTTTCCTTCTGGAGGTAAAGTTCTTCCTTCCTCCATCTCTACCACTAGTCCAATTTTCTTCTCGTTTCCGGAAAGGTTTAGTCTCACCCTCCTTCGCATTACCCCATTCTTCGGTATCGTTAGCGTTGTTGCTATTTTTCCAGTCATCCTTGCCACCACCCCAATCGTCGTTCTGTTTTGAATTAAAGTTCTGTCTGTTATTGTCTCTATTTCCGCCCCAATCGTCTTTGTTTTTCGGGCTTCTTTTTTCATCGCCACTCGCCCAGTCGTTTCTGTTGTTGTCTCTGCTGAATCTGTCTTGACTTTTACTGCGAAGATGAATTTACAAAACCTGAAAATTTTGTAGAAGTCATACATACTTGAAACCTCGATTATTTTGCTTCCAAGATCCGCCCTCTGAATTTCTCGAGTTCAAATCGTTTCGATATCTGTCGTTCCTGCTAAAATTTTAATTTTTATTCTAGTACTCGTTCCGAGACATTGATCGTAACAAACCCAAAACTTTTATTGCTGTGCCTGTCGCTATCAGTCGAATCGTTTAAGTCGTTGTCGCGCTTATTTCGGTCGTTATTTTTACTACAAAACACAAAATGTTGATAAGTAATAGTATTTCATGTGTTGAAGATCCACCAACACTGCAATTTACCTGGGAAATTTATACAGAAATTGTAATTCAGACGATAATTTGGGGGAATGTTAAATTTTGTCATTAACTCCATTCTTCGTTTTAAACTACCGAAAACTGCTTGTAATTAAATGAGCTGCCAGTTTTGCTACAGAAAAAATTGAAGAAAAAAACCCTTGAACTTGATCGGTTTTGCTCCAGCGAAGCTCTCCGTAAAGCGAAAATGACAGCTCCATTATGATTAAGTACTTTTTTAGCTCCCTGGAATCGAATGTTCATATCTCGAAAAAATGTTATACATTTCCTTTTCACAGTTTCCGTGGTATTAATAAGAATTTTTATAACACAACCAACATAAATCAAGGTATGGTGGATCTTTGCTGTGTGTATAATTTTAAATCTCTACTTACTTAAATCCTTTGTTGTTTTGTCGCCAAGAATTATTGTCGTTACTTTCGTTTGTTTCGTAATTGTTCCTATTTCTGAAAAACAATAAATCTTAAAATGTATTTCCTACATACGATTTCGAAAATTAATAGAAAACAAACTACGGCACATCTAATAAGCATACTAGTTAGCTAAGGTATTTCAGTGAGCACAGTAAGCGATTTTTTCGTAAATACAAAACCCAACATATGATCTGCTTACCGAGAACCTCTACCATCTTGTCTCCAACCAGAATTTTCGGTTGAATTGTCTGCCCATTGTCTTGGACCACTAATACAAATTTAGAAAGTTTTAAATACAGAACGAGGAAACTCACCGTTCCGGTTTTCGCTGCTCTTTAGAACCAAATTGTTGAGAAGTTTTCCTATGTTCAATTTTATTGCCAGCTTGTACCAACATGGGACTAACTTGAGATCTAGTAACCGCGATTTTATCCAACAACAAGGAAGCTACATTGTAATTAGCGGCGTCGATCAACTCAATTAAAGCTTTCTTTCCTTGCATTTCAACAACTTTCATTGTAAATTCCTGTTCTAAAATTAACTCTTCTAATAAGTTGTCTCGTTCTTCATCTGGTTCCATGTTTTGGTAACCATTCAAACAACATTCTATAGCTTGTGGTCTAAGAATGGTTAGCTGTCGTCCTTCGATTGGTTTAAGAAGCGATATTGATACGATTTCTTCGTTCCCGTAATCTACATACTGAACTTTAGCTTTTCCACCTCCTAAAGCCTCAACAATCTGGCTTCTGTACCACTGTTGGTCCCCTTCATAAAGTGCGTAACAGGGCATTCCCTTTTTGATCATGTTATTACTCAACGGATCAACATCTCGACACAACACTTGTATGTCTAGCATAAGCTTCACCAGTTCGTCTAGTCTTGTTTTCAATTGGACATAAAATCTATTACAGCTAAAAACGTAGCTAACTTTAACGGGTTGACTAAAGCCTCGATTTAAAGAAATATGGTCGGGGTATCCTGCTGACGCAGCTTGATTAACTATATCTAAAGCGCTTATTTGACTCTCTGGGTCCCACAGTTCACATCGTGGCAGAGAAGTTCTAGTTGTCATCGGCATAACTTTCATGTGGATGAGACGGTTATCGACAAACTGTTTGAAAGCGCATTGCATTTCTAAGGTTACGGTAGACTTTTCCACACCCGCTAATGCAAATCGAATTGCCATTACTTTAGGTATCACAAATTTGAATGGAATTTCGTACAGTGATTCTAATGGCACTACCTCGAAGTTGCCAAAATCGACATAGAAAACCTACAAAAATAATAATGTGGTAGCTAAATTTATCAACCATGTTTAATTAAATAAAACGAAAATAGAACTTTCCGAAATTTCAGAACCACCGTATGTTATTTTTTATTTTACATTTTTGCAAGCGACAACAAATTAGTTATTTGCAATATGATTCAGTTCACATTTTAAAGATTAACAATCATCGCAAAACGGAAATATATAGCGGAGTTTTCATTTTAGCACAAAAAGAAAGTTAAATTAAGTTGTGGTGTAAGGCATCCAGTAAAATGCATAAATTATTATTTTATTTTTTCGCGTAAATGGGTACAAAGATGATTTCGTTACATGCCAGATGAGAAAAAAATGTTTTAAAACTGATCTCATTTTTACTGTGCTTGCGTCATCTGCTGACAAACCATGAACCAATTAGTACTTAGCTTGTAACACGAATTTCAAATGATGGATCTTACAAACACGAAAACCGACGTGTGGCTTTTTTCATATTTATTTTACTACACACCTGATAAAATACTGATAAGATTGTATTTTTACCTAGAATTTTTTTACAATTTAAAAAGATTTATAATGATCTGATGGATGATAATGATGGAGTTGACAAAATAAGGCCGCGGAGTTTTATCTAGGACAGCCTGTATCTATTTTAATTATTTTACAACATTTTGACTAGGATTATATCAAAACAATATAAAAACGTCGCTCATAAATTATTTTACTTTAAGCTTATTTATGAGTCATGTTTTTGAAGAGTGATTATGATAACCTGGTACACATTAAACATGACGTTACAGGGTCAATAATAAAATCATGCCGTTGCATTTGACCACAACAAATTTTAAAAAATGTAATCAACACCTATGGACCCAAAAACGCTTAATAAAAAAACAAATAACATACCTTATACTGTCCATCAACTTCATTGGTAACAACAGCCCTGCAAATATGTGCATCTTCCATACATCTAGCTAAGCAAACAGTTCCAGGAAGAGGGATGCCTTCAATTGGCGTCAAAGTCATACAATTTATCTCTTTCATTAGCTTGGCTAATACTTCTTCTGACTGTTTAAGTTGTATAGAAAAGTTACACGGGCCATCAGTAACATATGACACATAAACTTCATACTGGCTTCCAGGCTCCAAAGTAAAAGCTTTATACGTTGCTATATTTTGCTGGCTGGAAGCTTGTTGTGCAGTCGGTGTTCGAGGCATCATGGACAACAAAACCGCCTCCTGCGTGGTCAATGAAGTATGCCTCATAAGACCCTTTGAAATCAGAATTATAGCCAAATCATTAACGCCCACAAACAGTCTAACAAGAAAATGTTTAGTAACTTGTGCGACAATACTGAAATTCACTTCAGAGTATCGAATTTCTTTACATATTTCGTCAAGGTAGGCATCGTTCCATTCGCCCCTCGGACACACAGCTTCGGCCAGCAAAAAGGACCCGGCTTGCGGTTGAATGGACACAAAGGAATTTTCAAAACCCTCCAAGGACCTTATATTCGACACGGGAACGATGTCCTTGTGGCCGTAGTCCACAAAATTCACCTCAATGTATCTGTTATGCAAGAAATCCAAACTTGTGATCCTCGCTCTGTAATACTTATTGTCTTTGTACTTTGCACAGCAGAGAATGCCGACCTGCAGTGCTTCTGGGTGTGGAATGCATAAACCGTTATCAAATTGATTTGTGAAGCTGTGCAAGACTTGTTCTATATAAAGTGACGTGTTTTTGTCCGTTTGCCCCCACACTTTCAAGAACGGGCCCTCTTTCTCGACGTACGTGATAAAGAGGCAATTGGATTGGCCATCCATCGCTACTCTGATTCGTGCTAATCCTTATTTTTTTAACATATTAGAAAAACAATCCTTACCGGCTGGAAAACCACAAACTTCGTTTCAAACGCCGTGAAAAACCAATTAGAAAGGTTAAGAAAAATGGCGCGACATCTACATTCCGTTTTGACCAATTGTACACGAGGCGCGATATTCAAATCTTGACAGTGCTTCAAATAGGTTACAATGTGTAGTCTAACAACTATTCGCAGTCTTGGAATGATTCAGTGATAAAATGCGTCGTCATTATTTAAAATGATGATGATCTAGACCTTTTGCACGTTTCACTTTAATTGATTAATACGTAACTCGTAGGATACAACGCATGTTTTAAAATAAAATAAAACTCATATTCACACATTTCAGATAAGCTTTAAAAAAAGTGCCATCAACATGGGCTACTTACAGGTTTTTTGCCAGTTTTTTTATACAACGTACTGAGGCGTTCCAAGTATCTACCACTAGAAATAATCACAAACACTGATCTAAAAACATTCCATAATATTGGAGAGTGACATTTTCGTTGTCAGAACTCACCCATAATCTAAATACTGATGAGCTATTGCTTTCTTCTACTCTAAATTCATAACTAATTTCGTCATGGAGAGGACGATAACAAGTTACACAGATAGACAGAGAAAAAACAGGAAGTGAAAGAGTTACAGTTACCTTTGGAAAAATATTCAGTGTCTTAATTTAAATTTGCAATTTCTTTAAAACCGCGTTGAACGAGCATTCATCAAATTTTCTTCAATTTAAATATTTATATAAAATGGTCCACGTGTAAAAAGAGCCTACCTGAATTCGAAACGCAACCCAAAATACATTTGCAACGGGATCATGGATATCTGGGTTTAATTTCTGATATAAGTATGTAGAAACAGTGAACTAAACTTCTAACTTGTCAATTACTCCTATTTAGTCGAATTTCCGACGACTCAATGACAAGGTATTCAGACAGACTACAAATTTTTTTTTGGGAAAAACTGACGTGAAATACTCGGAGCACAAATTAATTATTGGTCCCATCTTTTTCCGGGGCAGTTTAGGAAAAAAAATAAAGAAAAAGTTTATTTTGCGACAATTAACAGCATAAAACATTTAGAACAAAAAAAACATGTTTCCAGGACGGTGTTGGTGAATGTGAAAGAAGTGATGGGCAACAATTTGAAGATTTGTTACGTTAATTTGCTATTAAAAATAAAGAATATTTTTGTACAACTCTGACAGGTGTTAAGGATAATTTACGTTCAATGTTTAATACTCCTTACCTCCCTTCGTATTACAGTTTGTTATGACATTATCCATGACACCTATGAATGTGTATTTTGGGTTGCGTATCAAATTCAGGCAGCCTCTTTATACTTGTGGATCTCTCTAGATATGCTTTGATGTGAGACTCAAATTCGACTTGAACACCTTGCAAAAAATTGCACCACCCCATAAACATTATTTTTGTTTATGTACTTTTATCTTAGTGAATTAAAAACATATTTAAAACGAATTTGTAGCAAAGGACATTGCACTCTAAACCCTAATATAATAATAATTAATTCATCTTAATGTTTACAAAATATCTTGAAAGTCGTAACCACTGTCATTTGGGGAACCGTTTTAAATTAAAGATATTTGTTAAGTTTGTAAAATAAACTGTTATGAAATAAATTCCACGCATAAAATTTTTAAGTGTTATCTCTTAAAAACTCCAATAACTAAATTTCTACACAGTATACTCTTTGGTGAACGGGTCATGTCAGTCCTACGTACCTTTCTACCTATAAGTACAGCAGTTTTTGTGGTTTTTGGAGAAAACGATAGGGAAATAAATACAGTTCGTCCTTAGTAACAAAGAATAAATATTTCATGCACAAAATAAAAGGGTCTACTTTGATATAAGTCAATTATTTTTATAGCGGCCCTAATTATTTAATACATAATATGTTAAAAAGAGTAAAACAATTGGAGCATAAGTGGATACCTACTCAAAAACAATTGATAAGTTAATCCTACCATCTACTTAAACTGAGCAAAATTATATTCTTACTTATTTATATTATAAAACTATCCAATTTAACAACAAACTACAGAACCGATTGCTCTGACAGTTTGTATATGCTTCAGGATTATCTTAATTCGCTACTTAGAAATCATTTTTTGTCCTTTTCAAAAATTTGATGATGCCATCTCAATGTGTTGTTTAATCATGTATCATAGGTACCTTATTTTTAATATAGACAGGTTATCGAAGAAAAAATTCAAAGCGATGTGTTTCTTATTCTGGCATGAAGCTAGTGTTGATTTAATACTTACAAAACGTGAAAATGTGCTTGGAAATTCAAAATTTTTGGGCCTTAATAGTATGTTTCTATTTTTCAGAACTGTTTATTTATTACAGATCAAATAGAAAATCATTTAACTGATTTTCACAAATTCTAGGAATACACGACTACTTTTGATATTAATATCACCCGTTAAAAAAAATAGATCTGCAGAATCAAGTTCTATCATTTATCTAAACAATTGGACTTGTTTCATGGTAGTTAAGGGGCAAGAGAAGTTCTATCTACACAATTTTAGACCAGTTTTTTTCACAATGTTTTATATACGCCAATGAAATTGCGACGTCCTAAGTACTTCCTTCCTCTTAAGATAAATGACACCAGTGGAAATAAATCATAATTAACATTAATTAAACCGACAACTTTGTAAATATACGAATACATCCAAAAATGTAAAATGTTAATACTTTCTAGATAGAATCCTACAGTCTAACTATTGCAGCAAAACACTGAAATGCCTACAAAATCAACACATTCGTTTTTGTGTAATAACTGAATGACAAGTTACGTTCAACATTCAATGCGTTATATTATCCCGTTTTTATTGTAGAATTTTTGTCACATTTTGAAAAATAAGTTCGTCCTAAAGATTCAAAAATGTTTCTTGTATTTTCCAGTAACTGTAGCACACACATGCAAGCATATTTTTTCAGTAAATTATAATCATGTATCAATGAAGCGAGGTCTCAAGCCAACATACAACTACTGAAAAACAATATGACCTTTTATGATACTACGTATTTATAAAGAGAATAAAACAACTCCTCAAGACTCTCATAGTAGATAGAGAACTGACAAAAATAATTAGGTAAGAAGTTCAGATTGGAGTCTAACTAGTGGAATTAAGCACACCACTGAAAGCATGCATAGTGGACTATTTTTTTTACATTTTTTATTATTTTATGGACTATATAAACATGTTTACTAACAATAGTATCAAAAGATCATACTGATTTTTTTTTATCTGATAATAATAATAAAGTAACTCCTTTGCCTTAGCACGCCATCGATATAGCCGCTCCTACGCGGTTGCATGATGCATGCCCACGCACACCTATGCCAACGACGACTCTAATCACTGCGTTGGCTTTATAGGTGGAACTAATGCAAATGAAAAGTGACATACGCAGATTATAAAGGAAGATTTTGCACAACCAAGATAATACAAAAGGTTCACAAAATCATAAAACCTAAAAGAGTGGAAACAAAAAATAAATGTGATGGACCAAAAACTTCAGTAAATTTCTAAGTCACTGAATTTAAACAGTAAATATTTTGTATTAATGCCTTTTGCAACTATGTCATCCTGGTGATACTGTTAAGAGGGGCAACATCTATTATTTTTTGCGTTTCTCATAGATTCTGCAAATTTTCGAGCTTGCTTTATTGAGTTTTTAACCCCATATTTTGAAAACAGCCAATTTTGTTATTTACTTTTCGGAAATGTTTATCTACTTATGTTGTGAAAACATTAGTATAAACAATACGTACTTCTGGAATGAGAAAATGGTAACCGTGTAAACAATAGTCACCAGCTGATTTAATTGGAAATTATAATTTTAGTACCTATCTAATGTGTGAAGAACATCCAAAGAAGTGAAAGGTGGAATTAGAACACTTTTTTTGGTACATACCTCTCCTGTAGTACAATTACCTTATACCAACTTCGACTTCTTATTAAATACATCGTAAAATAAGGCCTATTAAGTCGAAAATATCTGTCTAAAAGCGTAATATTTTAAACCCGTTCTTGTTTTGTGAAAGTATTAAGACAAAGGTCATAACGAGTGTCATCGGTGACATGGGTGGAAGGAATGTGGTACACGTTTAATGCCTTTATTGAGCAAAAATTTTGTTCACATATTTGTAACATATTGAGGCGCAATGTGCTAATCGAGTGTACGCGTTCTTACACAGCCATCATATCCCTAAATAGTAATGTGTACATGCTTCTCACAGATGCCTGAAAAATCACAGCAAGTCTTTCGATGATTCAACGTGTTTTTGCAAATGATCACCTTTTCAGTATTGATAATTTCTTAAATAAATACAAAAACTATAACTTGTTTTCATAACCGTTTTTAAAATCTTACGCCAAAACAACACAAACAACATAGAGAACCATATTCTTCATATGACCAGGGCCGGCTGGTGCCAGGGGCACAAGGGCACGTGTCCCCCCACAATTATAACGTCTACAAACATACGGGACATAGCAAAATTGTAATTCTCAATACTTGAAAAATTATCCGGAAATTTGTGTCATAATTATCAAAACTAATTCTTTTAGGTCGCTCCACTTGTATAAAATGTATCAAAACTTACACAATTTCGCCTATTAATTGGTAATAACAATCTGTTTTATATCTTCATATTTAACTCATCAATCAAATTGTGTCCCCCCCATTTCAAAAGGTCACGAGCCGCCACTGCATTTTACAAAAATCATTGCTGCCGATCAAAACGTATAACATCAAATTTATTAGTGTTGAGTTGAAACACCGTAAGAGGAACACATCTCAGTAGGTATAAAAGCGTCCGAATTGTGAATTTAGACCGTTAGTGACGTTCATATCAACTTTCAATGATCATTGATCATTCATGATTAAATAGGCATAATAAACAAATATATTTAAAAAAATATCAAATTTCGCGGATATTTCAAGACTACTGTCTGTCACTAGAAAGTAAATCTATTAATAAACTTGCTACCTACTTCTTAACAATCCGATGACAATATTTCGTGCTTCCCCGGAAATAAAGCTGACCTTTCTATTTCAAGTA